AGTGCATTTTGTTCCTCCTAAACCATGGGTAAGATATTTTAGGGGGCATGTGTTACACATTTTAGTAAGCTTCCCACTAACAAAAACAAAAACAAACCAGTGTTGGCGCTTGAACGCAGAAGTTTCTGTTTTCCAAGTCATTGCTTCATGGGCCACATATTTATTCCTTGATGCCAGATAAATTGGGTATCATTGAATTTATATTCAGAACTTTAAGATATCAGCTCCTAGAAAAGCATATCTTTAAAGTATACACTGTGTGTTTTTAGTACAAGTCCATCAAAATACGTGATACTTTCCCAATTTAATTCCCTATTTAAATTCTTCTATGAAAAACTGGAACTTACACTGCACTTTAGCAAGTACTGTCAGTCCACTTTGAATTCACTTAAAATCACACAGTGAGAAAAACAGTTGGGCCTAAATATATCTAAGTGAAGGTCCAATAGATTGAGAATTTTTCTTTAATGTAAAGCACATTGCTATTAAGGTGAATTCCATTATCACAATAATACAGGCAGCTTTGGGGCATTGTAATGGTCTTGATTCATCCAGGAGAACTCTTAAGTTCATTTCTGTCTTAGTCTGTTTTCTTCCCAGAGTCTCACTTGGCAATCACTTCCTGTGGAGAGGTTCAGAATTCACCTGTGACATGAACAGGAACAGGCTGAATCTTCTGTCCCAAAACGTTTGAAGAAAATCTCAAGCGATGGGCAGTAACAAAAACTATGTCCACTAGCTGAGAACTAAGTGAAAAATAATTTTCACAAGTGTAGTAACTAAAACTACAATCATGATTTCTATTGCTAGTAAAATCTAATCTAATGTCTTAAGTATATACTTGTTTAGCTCTTTGGGGGAAAAGATCATTTATCAATTAAATATAAAATTTGCCAAGCAGTATATGTAAAGATTTACACCCTCGGAAACCCTGTACAGGGTCGCTATGGGTCGGACCCGACTCCACGGCACATAACAACAACAAAATATGTATGTATGCAAAATTAATCAGCATAATCTTTACTTGTAAAAGAAATATTGACTCAAGATTCCCATTGGTCTCAAATTGGAAAATCATATATACTATAAAACATTTTAGCTAAAACTTCAGCATTGCACTTATAGAAGCCTCCTTATCAAATTATAAATTTTAATTCATTAATTAATTACCAAAATAACATTTTTCAGAAGCAATTTGGTACTCTATTTTTGCATTTCTGACTTTGCTTACTTTATCTTATTATTATACTATATTGCATAGTCATTTGGACGATATAACTGATGTATAAAATATGGTTCAAACTTAATATTTTATTATTTAACAAAGATTATAAAAACGCTAAAACATTTTATTATCTTGTGATTTACTTTGAATCTTTTGGTTTTAAAAGTAGTCATACTACAATTATGGCGTTAAAATATAGCTCAAAATAATTGAAATGCAAGGTTGGGAACTCAAGCTCACCAGTCACTCCTCAGAAAACCTATAGAGTCGCTGTGAGCCAGAACTGACTTGACGGCACTTCTGGTGTGGTGCTATAGGATAAGCACTTGACTGCTAACACTGTTCCTTGTAACACAGGGTCACTATGAATCAGAACCAACTAGAGGGCACTTAACAACAACATTATTTGGTTTAGATGTATAGTTATTTCTAAAATTCAATAAATTACAATGCTCAAACATTCTAGTTTCTAATGTTAATTTTATTTGGTTCATTTGTTCCTCTAGTTTATTTGGTCCAAGATGCTGCAATGGAAGGCTCAGTGAGGGATGCAAGAGACCTGGCCTTTAGTGCTGGCTCTAGGTAGCTGATGCCCTTGGGAAGATACTGAAAATCTCTGGCCTTGATTTTCCCCATACTATTTGAACTGCAAGGTTGGCGGTTCAAGCTTACTAGCTGCTCCTCAGAAACCCTATGCAGGGCCGCTAGGGGTCAGAACCGACTCGACGACACTTCACAACAACATACAATACAATCAACAATCCTGATGTGGCTCTGCAGCTTAATGCACCAGACTGCAAAGCTGTTTGAACTACAAGGTCGGGGGTTCAAGCTCACCAGAGTTTCCTCAGAGGCTATACAAGGTCGCTATGGGTTGGAACTAACTGGATGACACTTAACAACAACATGCAATTGAGAAGACAGCAGTGGGTTTATCCAATGCAATCGCTGTTGCCCAGAAGCTCATCTTTGAAGTTTTTGTCTTCATATTCTATGACTTGCAGTTTAGCTGTCATGATGTCAGCAGAGGGAGCACTTTTCTATGTTTCATAGAAATGCTGGCTTATTTAAACACCTTCCAAAAATCAAACGGTAAATTATTTAAAAAAAAAAAAATCGACAAGCTTTCAATTGCCATGAAATCACAAATTTGAGTACAAATTTGAGAAAATACTGTAGAAATTATTCTTTCTGTGGAATTCCATGTTAAGCCTACTGACACAGTTGTTTGATAAATGCTAAGGAGCTAAATTATACTAAAAAACTAAGTACCCCTGGTGTGGCGCTGTAGGATAAGCACTGGGCCACAAGATCTGTTTTAACTGCAAGGTCAGCAGTTCAAACTCCCAGCCATTCTTCAAGAACCCTACAGAGGGTAGCTATGAGTCGGAACCAACTCAACAGCACTTTAACAACAACATATGGTAGAGAAGAAGCTCTAGTGGCACAGTGGTTAAAGCTACTAAATGAAAGTTTGGTGGTTTGAACCCATCAGCCTTTCTTCAGAAAATGATGCGGCAAGTCTGCTTTCATAAAGATTGACAGCCTTAGAGACCCTATTGGAGCAATTCTGCTCTGTTCCACAGGGTCACTGTGAATTGAAATCAACTTAAAAGCAATGTTGGTTTTTGGGGGTGGGGAGTGCTATATGGTAGTGTATTTATATAGAATCCATGGAAAGAGAAACACCAGATTATACAACATAAGGCTATCTGATGTTATAAATGAAAAGTGAAAACTTCATCAACCATTACAATGTTAGCAAATTAGTTCTAATATAAACAAACCACGCAAGTGATTGATAGGTTTTTCTTTCGCACTTTTCATTTAGATACATTGGAAACAAGCAGATAGACAAAGCCAAGACTGAGGCTCATAAGAGATTGTAAACGTGTGACAAAAAGCCAATGACAAATAAAGTTGTAAGTTTGAAAAACTTAATGACTTTCATTTCTATTGTCATAGGTATCTTAAAACTAATTGAGCATATCCATTATGTCTCTTTAATTATTAGACAATCTTATATCATATATTAAAGTTTTTATTCCTTAGTAAGAACTCTTCAATCACAAAATAGTGTGGAAATATTTAGGTAATAGAATTTATGGAGTGCTGAAAATATTAGAATATAAAGATAATTTCTAGTTTATCATCACATACTAAACTTTTCTAAAACCAGTTCGTTTCTTGCAGACAATATTTATTTTTTTTAAATAATTTAAGACAGCATAAGCTTGTACCAAGCATAAGCATTGTAACAAAAGTGCAAACTTTTCAGCAAATCTTCCCCAAAAGATAGTTTAACTCAAAATATCATTAGCACATATTTTCTCCCTACAAAAATAGCATGTCAGACATCATTAATTGGATGTATTAACAACTATGTACATAAGAGCCACCTTGAAGGCTAAGAGTTTAACGTTGTTTAAACACAGCGTTTGAGGCAAACAGTAGCAACAGCAGCAGCAAATGCACCAAACTGACTAAAAGACCCAGATATTTTCTTCACTCATAGTCAGACTGTTGTGTCTCACCCCTTACATAACATTCAAGTGAGATTTCTCACAGTGCTACCTTGGCAACAAACTAAAAATATCTAGACAAGGTCTTGGTTTAATCCTTATTAAAAAAATCTTTCTTTGTGATTATCTGGTATCTGATTTGGTCTCCAGAAAATACATAGACTTAGAGATAGGAAGGCCTCAGAGAGCTTTATCCAACATCTTTACAAAATTTCCAATCCAAACTGACCAGTTGAACTCTTCCCTCCATTTCTGTGACTTGAAAGAATACAGGATAAATCCATTCGAACTTGTTTTCGTATCTTTTTGTTTTGTTTTTAAGTTCAGTGCACATTCATTTTTTTTACAGCAATATTACAAAACTTAGGAACATTATGAATTAAATAATGACAGGGTGGAAACAGATGTACTTGATATATATGAATATATGTACACATATGTAAGTAAGTATATGTACACACATATACATACATATCATGACTAGGAAGAAATTAAGATGAGCCAATTAAGTCATGGTCCATTTCTCAATAAAATACTAAAAAATGTACTGAGATTTTGGCCTCCTTTCTGTATCTCTTTCCCTGACTTAGTTCTGATAATGGCCTAACTCAGAATCTCTTAACCAGTACAAGTTATGAAGAGATACCATTTAAACAACCTCAGAACAGGTTGCAATCTAATCAGCTGCATGCATCCTCACGTCTTCCTTTTGGAAAAAATAAACGCCTTTTCAAAAACTGAAGAGTAAGTTCATTTCCACAAGATCCTCATTTTACTTATGGAAAACCTCCTAAAAGTGGCAGAGCAGCACTGAAATAGAGGCAGGTATCAACTTCACCTTCAAAACACCTTTTACCTATGGGGTCCTGGGTTCAATGAGCTCACCTACAGAGACCCTGCTGACTTCTACTACATTTAGGTTCCACATTTTAAAAGATAATGGAACATGCTCTAAAGGGAGGCGAAACTAATTTTGTGAAGGTCTTTAAAGAAAAGAGTCTGTATTGCAGAGGATCTTTTACTGCTGGTGGGAGGAGGAAGGGATGTCAGTGTGCGGAGGGTGGGGTGGTGAGGGATGAGCAAAACAGAAACTCCAAATGTACAAAAAACACCTGGGTTTTTTTGTTTGTTTTTAAGCCTGGCGTGCATCTATTACACTTCCTCCCTTAAAAACGTTAAGGGTGTTTAATTTATTATTATTATTATTATTATTCCGCATGATCCTGTCCTTTCTAAGAATGGGGTGCAAAGATTCAGGGGGTTTCCTTTCCTGGCTGCGAGGGTTCTTCCTGAGAAGAGCTCTCCGGGTTCCCCGGCTCGCGGGGGGCAGCGAAGGGCAAGTGGGTGCGGCCGTGCGGGTGATGGGGATGCAGCGCCCCTGGGGGCGCCACTTCGTGCGGCAGGAGGGTCGTGGCGGCGGCGCCCGCCTTCTCGGGAGGGGGCGACAACACAGAGGATAGGCAAGGGAAAGCGGCGGCAGCAGCAGCGGCAGCAGCGGCGGCGGCGGCGGCCGGGGCGGGGATGCCGGGGTACAAGAGCGGAAACGGGGCGGTGGCTGCCGGGTACAGGTACTTCTCCAGGCCATTCTTGTCCAGGAAGGGCTGCATGTATGCGGCGGCCGCAGAGGGCGAGAAGAAGTAGAACGGCAAGCAGAAGGGAGCCGCGGCGGCTGCCGGCTGCGCGAAGGGCGCGCCCCCGCCTCCGCCGAACGCCACCAGTGAGCTGAGCAGGGCGGCGTCGGGTCTCAGCAGCGCCGCTGCCGCCGCAGGGTCGGGCCCCAGAAGCGCTGCCGCAGCCGCTGCCGCGCCGCCCCCCAGGCCGCCGCCGCGTACATCCAGCTTCATCCTTTTGGGCGCCGGCGAATCCTCCCCGGAGGGCTCCTGCTTAATGGTGACGAGGCTAGCTCCCGCGCCTTTGCCCTTCTCACGATCCGGCCGGGCCTCGGCCTCGCCGCCGTAGCCACTGTCGGTGTCCGTGTCGTTCTCCGCGGCAAGCTCGGCGCAGGGCTGAGTCCGCTGGATGACCGGCACGCAGTGGGCGAGGGGCTCCAGCTTCTGCCCAACACGCTCCAGGCAGGGGGCGGCCGCGGACCCCGTAGGGACGGCGGCCGAGGGCGTGCCAGTTCCTTTGCTCAGTGGGACCTGTTGAGTCAATAGCTGAGGGGCAGGCAAGAATTGGGTGGCCACGGCGTGCAAGTGGTTGATCAGCTGGACACACCGCGGCTCCCTGGGCGTCCAGCTCTCAAACCGGGAGAGGTATTGCAAGACTTCTTTGGCGCAGGTTTGAAATCCCGAGTGGAAAGCATCCAAGTCGGACTGAATAGGCGATTTTAGAGATCGCTCCCCTAGGGTGAGAAGGGGGGGAGGGGGAAGCAGCAAAGGAATAAAGAAGAAAAGGAAAATACCGACGTTAAAACATCTGCTTATCACGTGGACCCTGCAGTGACTAAAGTGTGCTCTATTTTCCTCAGTAATCGAGTGATATAATCCACCGGTTGCCGTGACAAGGGGGGTGGTGGGAGTGGGTAGCAGAAGGGGCGCTCTACTGCCAGCTGAAAACCCAAAGCGGAGAGGGTGCGACCGCCACTTTAAATAAAAATCTGATTCCTCTGAGTTTTGCAGAAAGCTACGAAGCTTCAGGAAATGGGCACTTTCCAATGAAGGGAAAGTATAAGCAATTTCACAAATGCAAGTGAGAGCATGGTCTCACTGAAGTGGGGGAGGTTATCCTAACTGTAGGTTGCCCTGCTTCATCAGGGTGGGATGGCCTCCCGGAACTGACTTACCATTCTGTAAAGCAATTATCTTCTGATGCTGCTGCTCCGTTAAGGCTGTTAAAGCTTTTAAGTGTTTCAAAGTTAATTCCAAGACTACCGCTTTCTCCAGATGCCCCAGGGTCTGCAGTGGTGCAAGAGAGGAGGGAGTACGTGTTTACTTCAAGACTCGTATTTGGCTTGATTGACGCTCCATTCAGCTCAGCAATTTAAAAGCAAACACTTTGAAAGAAGTACTACAGTTCTTATACTACTTCTAGTTTTCTACAAGACAGGTTAGAAATGATTTCTTGCCTTCAGTTGTAAGTACCTACTACTCTGAGTTTGTGAGAAACTCTGAACACTATAGCACAAGTTGTAAATCAGGCATCTACAATTTACATTTATTTTGCTATCTCTGAGAGGTCCTACCAGGCTATTAACACGCACTTGAAGAACACCAAAGAATGAAAATGTGCATCTTACTGTCAATTTCAGATGTTCAGGCAGTAAATCCTTTAGTTGAGCAATGCATTCATTAATCCGGTCTCTTCTTTTTTTTTCTATTAATCTGTGCGGTAATTTGTAGGTATCCTTAATATATGGAAAGTCGTAGAAGAAAAACAATAAGCTAAACATTCATTTACTGCACATAACAATACCCCTCCCCCAACATACTAGAGGATAAACTATGCCCAAGAATTCTCTTTCCTCTGGACTGTTCTGAATGCAATTTAAATTCAGGTATGATGCTTAATCTCCCCCTGAGAGTATCCAGCAAGCCACTTAAAATTCACAGTTGGGGACGCTTGGGGGCTGGAATATGTTTGCGGGTTGTGAAATCAATAGCCCTGATTAACTATCCAGTCAGGTTATAGGGAACATTGGAAACTTACACGTACCTTGCTGTCGTCTCTTTTCATGCTCCTTTTGGGTTTACACATATACAAAGAGGAATAATCCAGTCTGCAAAATAGAAATCAGCATCAGACACCCAGTCGGGGAGGGGCTCTGCTCTCTCTGGCTTCATACCACTTTCTGGAGAAGAGAAAAATCTACACCAAAGCCTAGACAGATTATTGCAAGGGTGCGTGCACCTTACCCTATAAAATCCCTATGTTCCAGTAACTGTCTGTCTTGCAAATGAGGAATTCCTTCGTCCATGTTCAAACGCTGTCCGTTTCCTCTGTTTCGATATTTGGGGCTCTGTTCTATAATCTGTGGGACGGTAGCCTTGGGAGATCTTGGGGGATCTGTGCGTCTCCAGTCTCGCTCGCTCTCTCCCTCTTCAGTGCAGTGTTGAAAGTGTGAAGCAGTTGGTTTCCCCCCCCACACCCCCCACACCGCGCTCGCTCTCTCGCACACACACGCACACGCACACACGCTCGCACATTCGCCCCGGCCCCACTGCACTGGTAGTTTGCTCTCACTCCGGGCAGTGTTTGGCCACAGGGCACGCGCGTCGCCGGCCAGACTCGCATCCAGCTCACGTGCGGAACGTACCATCCGCGGTCCAGCTCGGAGGGGGGGCGGGGAAGGAGGGGCCGGGCCGAGCTGGGAGGGGGCGTCAGGAGAGGAGGGCGAGGGTAGGCGAGCGGCTGGAGAGGGCGGGGACACCTGACCAGGGCCACCGGAAAAGAAAAACAACTTTGGCCAAGCAATTCATCTTCCCAAAGACGTTGCAGTCGGTTGGGGGAAGGGGAGGGAGCACTAAGGGTGTGGAGCACCCTGGGCTTTCTCAACTCGGAAATGCGACTCCCTAGGTTAGTCCTTCATTACAGAGCAGGGACGTGAACGTGGCTTTTTGCTTTTCCTCGGACAGTGCGTTGGTTTGGACCAGGGAAAGGAAAGAGAAAGAGAATTCGCGGTGGGTAAACTTCAGTCCCGAAGGAAACATTTGGAGACTTGTTCACAGCTCAGTGGCCTGGGAGATCCCTTGGTGCTGGCTAGGGGTTGCCTTCAAAGGGGGCGATTTGCAATCCATTCCCTAGAGGTTTAAAAATAAAATGTAGTCATTGGGTCAGAATGTCGCAATCCAAGTGTCTTTAGGCGACCCGGTGTCCCTGGGTCATGTAAACTTCCCGCAGCAGCCGGAATTGCGGTGCCACTAATCCCAGCACCCGATGACGACGTTTGGGGCCTCTAAAGCTCCGGGAGGACCGCGGCAGGGAGGCTGCATGGGGGTGGGGTGGCATGAGAGGGGTACCTCGGAAAAGCAATGCAGCATTTATCACTCGCAGGCTAAACTCCGCCGCCTCTCTGTGCCTCGGGTGGCGCTGTGCTTGTCCCCGCGCTCCCCCTCCTCGTGTGATAAACGTCGCCAGGAGTGTGCAGTGCCCACGTTTACTACCTCTGGCACCTCCAATGACTCCCTCCTTAATCCTGTCTCAAATGGGTACCAGCACAGGGCCAGCAACGTGATCCGACCTGCCGCTACTGCCACATCACTGCGCGGGGAACCCGTGCGCGCGCGTGCGCTCGCCCAGTATCCGCGATGCTAGGTATCGGGAAGCGCAGACCAGCGCGAGCCTGGCTGGCTACCTTTCCCCAGAGCCATCCCGGGAGCGTGACTCACTGCTAGTGAGAGTTGCCAGGAGGTGTCAGAGATGCGCAGAGCCCAGCTGCTCTGCTCAGCGAAGGACAAGAAGCCTCGGCGGTCAGGGGAGGGCTGTCCCGTGAGACTCCCAAGTATCCAGCCTCGTTTGCTGAAGCTATACTGATCGGCCTGAGGTGGTATCTGGGTAGGGTGAGGTAGGGTGGCTGTGAACACCTAGAGAGAGAGCGCCGTGCAAAGGTTTTTACTTCCTGTACTCGAGAAAACTATTTACATCCTCATTCTCCCTCGAGTGATTCCTAAAACATTAATTATTGCTAGTGGCATGTGAACTAAAAGAAGAACGCAGAATGCACAGGCACCCGGGCCACAGCCGGCACAGGAGCCGTAGATACGTGTCTGCTGGCCCGCCCCACCGGGCGCAGGTTCCGGGGACAGATCTGGGTCGCGGGAAGCAGCGGCTGGAGGAGGTCACGTGTCTGCGGGAGTCGCGTCTTCTCTCCGCCTCCAGGAGCCGCCCGGCCACCGACGGTAGCGCTGCTGCAGTCTCACGAGTCCTGGGCGGAAACGCGCACCGCGTCTGGCTTGGTGATTCGGGAGGCGGCGGCGGCCCAAGCTCACCCTGGCGTGAAGAGACACTCGCCGACTGTCCATTTCATCTGTTTAAAGGGCCGTTTTAGGTTTCTCGATTTCCTCGGCATCAAACAAGCAATTTAATAATGATAATACTTAAAAAGAAGGAAAAAAGAAACCTAAAAAATACTGGGGTTACTTTAAACCTCTGTCCAACCTCTTCCTTGTTTCCAAGTGGAAATTGAGCCCTAAAAAGCGGTATTTCCTGATTTCCTGACCGAACTGTGTCGTGTTTATCTCTAGTTCTTAATAGACTCAACTAGGGGAAAGATGCAGTTGAGGTGAAATATATAT